AGTTTATGGCAGAGCTGTATATAGGATTAGTTAGGCCAAAATTGGAGTACTGTGTGCAGTTCTGGTTACCACACTATATAGGAAAGATATGATTGTGCTGGAGAGGGTGCAGAAGTGATTCACCAGGATGTTGATTGGCTGAAGTGATTCAGATATGAAGGAAGAATAGATAGGCAAGGGGTGTTTTCATTGGAGCAAAGGTGAATGCAGGGGATCTGAATGAAATGTCCATAATTTTGAGGGGCACAGACAGGTTAAATAGAGAGAAGCTCTTCCCCTCAGTGGAGGGGTCAATAATTCCTTAACATGAGGAGCAGAAGGTTTACAGGGGACTTTAAGAAAAATGTTTCACCAAATTGGTTGTGGATATCTGGAACTCACTGCCTGAAAGGGTGTTAGAGGCAGGAACCTTCATGACATTTAAGATCTGTTTAGATGAACACTTGAAACGCCTTAGCATACAAGGCTACGGGCCAAATGCTGGGAAATAAGATTAGAAGAGATGGATGTTTGATGTCTGGATACAATAGGTGAAGGACTTCTTTCTTTGTTATGAAAACTTTATGGCTCTATGATTCTGGAACAATCTCATTGGGCTAGAAGTTGGCAAATGGATTACCACACTAAATAAAAGAGAATGGAGAATACCAGGAATTAAAGACTCAACGCCAGTAGCAGGGAACCTGCTGGAATCTATTATAAAGAATGAGATAACAGGAGACTTGGAATTACCAACAGGATTATACAAACTTATAGATGAGGGAGGACTGGCGGATGTGGTGTATTTTGATTTTTAGAAAACTTTGGATAAAGTTCCACATCAGAGATTAGTGTGCAAAATCAAAGTGCAATATACCGGCATGGATTGGGAATCAGTTAGAAGACAGGAAGCAGAGTAGCGATACATGGGCCATTTTTGGATTGGAAGGCAGTGGCAAATGGGATATTACAAGAATCAGTGTTTGAGTTCCAATGACTCCGTATATATGAATGACTTGGATGAAGGAATCAAATGTAATATTTCCAAGTTTGCTGGTGGGAATGATGTAAAAAGGCTTCAGGGTGATTTAGAAAACATGAATGGGCAATTTCACGGCAGATGCAGAATAATGTTGATAAGTGTGAAATTGTACACTTCAGTAGAAAAAGCAAATGCGTGCCACATTATTTAAATAGTGATATATTGAGAAATACGAGTACAAGACCAAGGTTGCTGCAACTTTACAGGGCCTTGATGAAACCACTCCTGGAGCATCATGTGCAGTTTTGGATGCCTGACCTGATAAAACATACTTATCATAGCCAGACTGCAATGGAGGTTCATCAGACTGATTCATGCAATGGCAGGTTTGTCCTAGGAGGAAAGACTGGGTCAGCTGAATTCACTGGAGTTTAGAAGAACGTGAAACCCCATTGAAGTGTATAAAATTCTGGCAGGCTGAACAAACTTGATGCAGATATGATGTTCACCCTGACTAGATGCTCTAGAAAAAGGAATTACAGTCTCAGGAAGCCAGTGAGCCATTTCCTGAATGAGATGAGAAATTTCCTCACTCAGATGATGGTGAATTTGTGGATTTCTTTACCACAGAAGAGTATCAAGGCCAAATCACTGAATATATTTAAGAAATAAATTGAGAGATACCATAAACTATAGGATCAAAGGGGTGTTGAGATAAAAAAGCACTAGGTTATAGCAGCATTGTTTAGACTCATAATAATGATTTCATTTTAAAAATGGTCAGCCTGAATTCTCCAACACTTCATGAGCCCTTTGGTGCATTTCAGTTAATGGTACTGTTATTTCATCACCTAGAAGATGAGCAGTTTAAAAATTGCTATTAGTTTGCTTTAGTTTTATTAGGTAAATCATCTGGTCAACCCCACAGTGGGTTTCATGATGAAAGGGGCCATTTAATCAAGAGGGAGGAAAGCAGGTGATGACAATGCCTACTTAAAGGGTTCATCTTGCCAACTGCTGATATTAACCCAGTGGAAGGTGAGGGATTTGTGATCATTGCACAACAATTAAACTCTGGCATGTGTGCTTGCCAGTTTAAGTGATCCTCCTCATTCAAAGGCACATTGCCGGGCTGAGGGTCCTGACGTTAGGAAGTGAAACACTGGCAGCTGAGAGCTGTCCTTACTGCCAACCCCTCGTCTCCTCTCCTCCTCTTACTCCCCCCTTGAGCCCCTTCTCACCATCACTAACCTGAAACGTGGGATCTTGCCAGGACATTTTTCCCTGGGGTGTAAAAGGCTGAGGGATAACCTTATAAAAGTTTATAAAATCATGAGGGGCATAGGTAAGATGAATAGCCAAGGTCTTTTCTCTAGGGTAGGTGAGTCCAAAACTAGATGGCATAGGTTTAAGGTGAGAGGGGAAAGATTTAAAAGGGATCTGAGAGGCAACTTTTTCACATAGAGGATGGTGAGTATACGAACAAGCTGCCAGAGGAAGTGGTAGAGGTGGGTACAATTACAACATTAAAAAGACATTTGGACAGTACATGGATAGGAAAGGTTAAGAGGGATATGGGCCAAAAGCAGGCAAATGAGACTTGTTCAGTTTAGGAAACTTGGTGGACAAGTTGGGCCGAACAGCCTGTTTACCTGTTGTATGACTCTGAGATAGAAAAAAAAGAACAGAAATTTAAACAAAGTTGCCGGAAAAGCTCAACAGGTCTGGCAGCATCTGCGAAGGAAAAAACAGAGTTAACGTTTCGGGTCCGGTGACCCTTCCTCTGAACACTTCAGAACTGAACAGTCACCGGACCTGAAATGTTAACAAATTTTTTCCTTCACAGATGCTGCCAGACCTGCTGGGCTTTTCCAGCAACTTTGTTTTTGTTCCTGATTTACAGCATCCGCAGTTCTTTCCATTTTCAAAGAACAGAAATTGCTGGGAACAGTCAGCAGGTCTGGCAGAATCTGTGAATAGAAAGCACAGTTGACTTATCAGATCCAGTGGCCCTTCTTCAGAACATCTGAGCTGGATCCATGATCATGTTGGCAGGTGGAGAGGCTGGTATTGGCTGAATGGCCTACTCCTGCTCCTAATTTCTGTGTTTCCAATCAAGGGACTACCGACAAGGATAGAAGTCTTTAGGTTCAGATGACAGTCAGAACTACTCAAGTGATGTATATTTTCCGATTATAATAATTTGGTAACTACTCCTTGCACATACCCTCTACGTGGTTCATGCAGTAGATCATTGACTGACAATATATTATCGACTTTATCTTGGAGAACTGAACCCTCAGGCTCACATCCTTTCACCTTGATTGCTCTTTCAACCAGATTACTCCATATTGTGTCACTGTGTTCAGTCCAACCGTTGCTCAATATTAAAGAACAGTATTTATCTGAAATCGGTATACAATTCGCATACATAAGTTAATGGGGGTGGGAGGCGGAGGGTTGCTGACAACCCTTACAATCCACCCAAGGTTTAGATTTCAGATCGAAAGTTTAGATTTGTGCATCGAAAGGGCAGCAGCCTGTCACATTACTGGCGAGAAATGATCAGCCTGTAAACCTGTTCATGGGATTGTTGTCCACGTCTTCCTACCATCCAGCCCTCCCTCCAAAAAAGGAAGGATTTGATGTGTTTGTGGACCAGCTGAAAATGTTTCTCCTTTCTTTCGGATTCAACGCCCCACCACAAGAAGGACGTTTTGTTAACTCGCTGAAGGCTGGGGTTTTCTTTGCAGATTGGCGCACAGAGAGGCCAGGAATGAGACGAGGAGTGAGGCGGGGACACTGTGCAGCCGCTGCTCACTTTGGCGCCTCCCACTCGGGCTGTAAGAGATTTTAGTGAATGAACATTGCCATGAGCGGCAAACGGTGACGTACAGGATATTGCGTGTTTTCTGGGGAAGAGAATGAAGTGCAGAGTGTGAAAATGAGAGAGAGAGATCTGTGCCCCGGGGCTCTGAGTGATTGACTGACTGCAGGAAGAGGCAAAAGGAAGGGACCGGGGCTTGCAGCGTCCGAGGCCTCCCCTCTCGCTGACTGCAGCCGCTCTGGAGGTGACTGGGAGCCGCAGGACACACCTTCTCCGCCGGGTTTTCAGGAGTCGGGGGAGGGGGCGGTGAACCGAGCTCTGCACAGGAAAAGAAAACCGCCTGGAGGGAAGAGTGGAGCGGGGTGGGGAAGCGCTGCCGGCAGGGGTCTGGGGAAAACACTGCTCCTACCCACTATCGACACGAGCTGCTGGAGTAGTCTTGGATCTGCCGGCTTCGACTGAGGGAAGCGGGCAGCCTCCTCTCACCAACCAACCCCCCCCCCTCCAACCATCATCATCTCCTCCTCAACTCTACAACACCAGCCACCATCACCCAGCCACTGCTTTGGGATTATCGCTCGCTCCCTTCACTGACTTGCCAACAGCAGAGGCTGACAGCTGCTCCCGCTCCTCTTTACATCGAATTCTACACGTCAGGTTTCGGAGCCGAAAATCCGGCAGCGGCGGCAGCCGCCACACACACACACAAAAACTCCATCATAACGAGAGAGAGAGAGAGACAGAACAATTCCTCTTTCCTTCAACGGACGGAGCTGAAAACCTCTCAAAACTGCAATCTGCCGGGGTCAGTTTCGTATTTGCCTCACATCAGAGGAACAAGCGTTTTGACAAAGAGGGTGAAAAAAAGAAAACGTGCGTTGAAATTTACGAGAGATTTGCAATCGACCAAAAGGGAATCCATTACTGCAACGCACGGAAAGTGGAATTAAAAACGGGGAAAAAAAAAAGAGCCGGGAGCAGTTTGAGCGATTTTATGAGGAAGATTTGAAACAAAAAAAGGAACATGTTTGGAGGAACAAAATCAAATTGAATAAGGCTACAGGGACGAAGTGAAGTTGACACCTGACGGGGAAAAAAACCAAGTCCTTTTTATTCCAACAAAGTGGTCCCCAAAGTGGTTCCAGGGATGTGCTGCTGTTGGCTGTGAGACAAGATTTGAACAATTTCGTTTTTATTGTAACACCATCTTCTCCCTGCTCGATCGAGATGCCTTACAGCAGCCGTGAATTGGTTTGCCATTACCTGTATTACCGTCTGTCCCGCCAGGGATTTGTGTGGGAGGAGCCCCTGGACACCGCTGCCGGCTCTCCGACCCCCAGCTCACCGAGCCCCGGCCGGCCCCGGGCGACCGCCGCCTCGTCCGCCGCCGCCGACAAAGCGCACCGCGTCCTCCGCGAGGTGGGCGACAGCTTCGAGCGCCAGTACCAGCAGGAATTCGCCGACATAGCGCTGCAGATGCGCTTCGAGCCCGAGAGTGCCCGTGGCCGCTTCGAGGCGGTGGCCGAGGAGCTGTTCCGCGATGGAGTCAACTGGGGCCGGGTCGTGGCTTTCTTCGTGTTCGGGGGCACCCTGTGTGTGGAGAGCGCCAAGAGGAGGGACATGGCATCGCTCATTGATAACATCGCCACCTGGATGACCGCTTACCTAGACAGCAGCCTCACTGACTGGATCCGCGCCAATGGAGACTGGGTATGTAACCAGTGGCCAGGATACACCTTCACTCTCCCTCATCACTTGACTGTTCTTGAGGTTGTCAGCATCACCCGCCCCCTTTACCTGCAAAGGAGAGAGACTGTGTGTGGGACGGTCTGTTTCCTGCCCACTTGCATCACCTACACACCTTCCCACTCAATAAAATGTTTCCCATCTATCACCTTTCCTGCCCACTTCCATCGCCCAACATATCTATACAGCTTTCACATTCATCCACTTCTGGCCATCTTTTTCTACTTTGCATCACCAGCCACAGGTGGGTGTTTGTAAATTTTTCCGAAGCCACGTGTTTTTAGTTGAGTTTGAATGCCCGATATACATGCAGCTTCTTCTGCATGACATACTTGTTAAGTCTTGAACTGTTCTAAAGTTAAGTATTTCTGTTGGATCTTTAGTCCATATTGCTTCTTCAGTCTGTATTGTGATTGCATTCTGTCCTCAATTTTGTTGTATTCTCGTAGAAACGTGGATAAGCTGTAAAATGACTTGCTGCTTCCCCAACAAAAACCTTTACCGTTTATGTTTATAGCTTTTAGAGGTAAATATTTACTTCGCAAAGCATAAATCATGGCGTACCACTCTAAACCTCAATGGTCAGCCAGCTATTCTATGTGCAAGATATTTTCATTCACGTACTGTGCAAGGCTTGTTACTTCGAGTGATGATCTCATTCATTAGATGTACAAGTTTGGTCTTTGTTTGCATACACAGCAATCATCATGATGTGATGTAACAGACAGGGTTTGCATTTCAAGAATCTTAGGATTTTGGCTGACCAATAACATAGCATCTGTGGGATAGTCTGGATAGATTTAGGTGATTATCAATAAGTGAGTAGTTTTGAATAACAGAGCTTTCCAAAATGGGGGTCAGGACCCAAAGTGGTTTTGAGAGCTGAAACTTTGGGCTCCCAAGCACTGAGACAACAATGGCCGCTGTGGAGTTCTGACCGTTATAACAGCTTTTCGCCATCTCTAATAGGCCCCTGCCCCCTCAAACCCCAAGTCCAATCTCTCTTTTCATTGAGGGGTCATTATTATTTTCAAAATTGGAAATGGGGTCATAGTGGGAAAATGTTTGGGAAGCATAAGAACTGTTAAAGGTTAATTTTTTTGACTGGTAAATATTTATGGTTGAGTGTGTTTCTGAGAGAATATGGCTGTAATGAATTTCCATGTAAGCCAGAGATAGTGTATCTTAACATTTATTAAGTATTTCTCCAAGAAAAATATTCTTTACAAAGATTGCTCATCCATTAAAAATTATCAAGACTGTGAAGAAAACATTGGTGTTTAATATTGCTGTTGTAATCAGTTTAATCACTACTTATCTGGCATTATGTCTGGTTCTGGGTATTATTTTAGTCAACAGCATATGTTCATTTGAGGGATTATGGATTTGCTCCCTCTTGTATAAATCTTTTTCTTCATCCTACATCTAGACATCTGTTCACAAAATATCTTATTTATATATTTTATATGCATTATGCTGTGATAATATGTTATTAAGGATCAATTCAAGTTAAAATCCTGATGAGTTGTTTTCAATAGTAAAGTTCTGATGTAATGAATACAGGACTTTAAGCTATGATGTCAACAATTAATTGTTTAGTTAAATCTTAGAAAGCAATTACAGATGTCTATTTGACAGTTACAAATGAGACCTTTTGTTAAAATCACTTCAGATTAATTTGTGCAGCAAAACTACTTTAAAATACCAAGTACAATTAGTTAAACTTAGGGTGCTTAATACATAAATATGATCAGCCTCCAGATTAAATGAATAATTTTTAGAACTTGCATTTATATAGCATTATTGCTGTCTTTAAGCTGTTGAAAAGCACTTTGCAGTTATAACAACAGTGACTACCATTTAAATGTGAAAAATATAGGAAAAACATCTTTAGTGGTTACAAATTACAAAGCTCCAGTTCAGACTATTGATTATACTGATGGCTCTTTTACGATTTCTTTTCCTTGTAAAACTTAACAAAAATAATTCAAATATAAGCATTCAAAGTACAGATCTCATATAAATCAAAACAGCTTTTCAATTTTTTTCTTTTTCACAAACAATTAGTCAGTATTCTTACTTTCAATTGTTTTACATTTTTTTAAAGTACTGCTTTACACCAGACAGTTAGGAGATGAAGATTGATCCCATAGTTTTCAGGAGCTGAAGTATATGCAAGCTGAACAGGATTGATACTTTGTTATTTGTTGAATCTATAATTTTGTCTACCATATGGGATAGGATATCTTCTGTTGCCACTCTCCCCAAAACCTGCACCATTCAAACTGGTCACAATATTATCATTCCTCAATTCCCATTGAAAAGCTGTTTTAATTCAAGTAGGATCTGTACTTTGAATGCTTATATTCAAATTATTTTTGTTAAGCTTTACAAGGAAAAGGAATTGTAAAGACCCATCAGTATAATCAATAGTCTGAACTGGAGCTTTGTAATTTGTAACAATTAAAGATGTTTTTCCTATATTTTTCACATTTAAAAGCTCTTCCTTTTGCAGTACACGAGCTAGTTACAAATTATGCAAAAGTTGTCTGCAACATTCATTTATTTTTCTCTCTACAAATCTGTTCCCTTCCTAATTCCTGCTGTATCTGTACATCCTTTGGTGACTGCTCTGTTTGAAACATAGAAAATTTAAGATAAGGTTTTGATTAGGTAGAGAATATCTAATGACTCTGGGTCAGTAACTAGAGCTTACAAATGGTTGAAGGTAGTAGAAGTTGATTTCAACAATATTTTTAAAGAAACTCTACTAGGTAGTTGAAAGTGAAGAATTTATGGGGTTATAGACAACAGGTGGGAATGTAGCAGTAAGCATGAGCTGTTTCACACAGCCAGTACAGAGGCGTATTTTCTCTAGCAATGCTATCAATTGCTGTTTTTATGATTCTAGCAATGACAGTAGCTTCCTGATTTATGGAACCATGCCATTTCAAGGTGAAAGCTAATGTAGCAACTTCTGGTTCCATATAGTGACTGTGGTTAGTCTAAGTTTGGATAGCAATTATAATGCTTGATCTAAAATTCTGAAGTTTTCAAATAAAAATTTTAAGGTTCCTTATAATGAGGAAAAGTTTTGCCAGGATCTTATTGTAAAATTCCTATTTTACTCCAGGATCTTGGCAAAAATTGGCAATTGCTTACTGATTTATAGTTGAATTACTCTTTTGAATATTGCTTTTGCTCTATAAAGTTTGTTAGATTTCTTTTAATTTTATTGGGGATCAAAAACTGATAATTGACTCTGACAAAGAAAGTCTTAGAAGTTTGTTTTTGTGGAAAAGACTGAAGAAGAGACATTTGGTTACATCTTTTCCAATTTTGTCCCACCTTTGTTCCACTTGAACATCATCCACAAATTAGATAAACTATATTTGCAAATGCATACTAGTTGCAGATGGTTCTGTCCATTCTGAAGTGATGAGATTAAATATTTCTTTAGTTTTTTTTGGGGTTTGAAGGAAATACAAGAAGTCAAAAAATTATATCTAGAATTTTGATTTTTCTCTGCATTTGTCTGCAGGCAAATATTTGTTTGTACATAAAGCTTTCCTATGTTTAACATCAGTAATTTCACAATGGTTAATGTTAGAAAGGTTTGATAACTTATATCAGAACTATGGTTTGCTGACAACCACTTGAAACTGTAAATGCTGTGAGTATATCAAATAATCTGTTTATTCGATTGCTTGAGTGTTAAATGGTTGTTGTAAATCAGCGAACCTGGATAATCAGTGGGCATAATTACATGTGGCAGAAATAAAGGTGCAAAATTGCAGATTATTTTGGAATAAGTAGGATGATTTACACGGACAAAATAATTTTTTTTTTTATTATTTGTGAAGCCAGTCTATGTATATCATGTGCAGAAAAACCTAAACATTTCAAACAAAAACGTTGAAAATATCTTGGGCACTGTAAAATTGAATTACAGACCAAACTTTTAGGTGCTTTAACAGCTTCTGCAGCAAAATTTTCTTGGGTTTACAATAATTTAATGGTTTTAGCACAGTTACTTGAATTTATATAATTGTTCTTATTGTGAACCGTTATCAGTTCCACCTGCATCTGAGTTCCAAATATTTGAGTACAATAAGGATTTGGCTTTTACTGTTTACTCCACAAAGAAGATCTAATAATCTTCCTCGAAGTTAGTTGGAAATAAAAAAAACATTGAATTATAGTTTGTAAACTGGAAACATGTACATTACTATATTTAAGCTATGTAAGTTTCTCCCCCAGTAAAGCAAGTTAGAATTTGTTGGGAAGTTTTATACAGCTGGAGTGTTGATGCTTAAGCAGCTATTCCATTCTAATTGAAACTTCTTGGCATTTCTTTTTCCTTTAAATCGCCCCATTCAAAATTTTCTAAATTTAGCAGAAAAATAGGTAGTTTCTATGGAGAGAGAAATCTAGTTGATGTTTCATGTCTGGTGTCATAAAGGACTTAATAACAGAAATTCTGTTTCTCTCTCCTCGGATGCTGATAGATCTGCTGAGATTCTCCAGCATTTTCTGCTCTTATTTCAGATTTCCAGCATACACAATACTTTACCAGAAGCAAAGAGTAATTTCCTGCGACACAGTTACTGTCCACTACATCTTGTTGTTTTGGTTTAATTGATTGTCAGACAACTATTTTGTCTTATCTCCTGTGTTTAATTACTTGGAATCATAGAACAGTACAACACAAAAGGTGATCTTTCAACCTGTTGTACCTGACCTGGAATTCTCAGCTACCAGTTCAATATGCTCGCCTGCTTTTCCCCTGGACTGTAATTTTAACTTTTTTCAAGTATTCACAGTTTTTAGAAGGAGAGGGTTAAAGTGATCCAAGTTATTTCTCAGTTGTTTTATTGATTTGGTTTTTAAACTGCACCTTGGTTAAAAGAACCTTTTATAAGCTTAAGTAAAAACAAACTATTTACTGGTCCTCTGACATTCTTTCTTTCCTTTCAGGAAAGAAAAACTAAAAGCAGTAGTATTGATGTCACAAAATATTTTTAGGCACAACTGAGTAAAGAACTGTCTGTATTTTGTTGCAAGTTTGTATGCATTCTTGGCTATTTGTTTTTTTAAATGTAATGTATTTTCAAATAATTTATTCCACCAGCTTGTGGAATAGACAAATGCAGGGATATCTGAAACAAAAACAGAATTGCTGAAAAAAAGTAGCAGGTCTGGCAGCATCTGTGGTGCGAAAGCAGAGTTAATGTTTTGGATCCA